CAACGAAGCAACGCGCGCGGGTGCTCTCCCGCCACGCCGCCGCGCCCGCGCCGCAGAGCTGGCACCTAGTCACCGAAGAGTGTCGAATGTGAATGGCCACGCCAGCAGTGTGCCGAAAGCAGAGCCATAGTGCGAACCTGGTTGGAAGGCACGATCAGTGCTGCGGCTTGCGCGCGCCGGTCTGTACTGGGCCCCCACGAGCAGCGCCCTGCTCCCGGCTGTCCAGCAACATTGGCTGATTGACGCCACACCGGGTAAGGAGCCTGTCTTTGAGCTCTCCATGCCGTGAGGTGCCGTTACGATTCGCGACTCTGGTCATGGTCAACTCATCCCACGTGCGAGCTGACCCCAGACGAGCCAACTGGGCTCCTCAGGGCCCTCGACATCTCATTCGGGCTGAGTTTCCTGAGCCATGGGTGAACTGTGCCGGGCGTCCCCTGCGACGGCTTTGCGGTGAGTGCTCTGGCACCTCACTGCGGGTGGCCCTCTATGGCCGAAATGCTTCGGAGGGACACTCTCCATTGCCCGGTAGTCCTAGTTCTAATAGGAGGACGCGTGCGCGCCCGCTGCCACAGTGGCTTACAGCGTGCACGCGGACTAGCACCACATAGAAGTGGAAAGGAACCGCCGCTATGCTTTTACCGACGCCGCCATGTCTTCTAGTTTCCGCCCATGCCACCTACAATTCTAGCTCCTCCTCCTCCTCCTCCTCCTCCTCCTCCTCCCCCGAGGAGCTGAAGGCGGACTTCGAGCGACGGAGACCGCGGCCCGTGCTGCGGCCTCTCAAGGAGCTGTCTGCGGGGGGCTGGGGGCGCCGCCTCCGAGGGTAGCGACCTCGTGCAGTGTTCCTTCTCCGTTGTTTTGCGTCTGTTTGTTTTTTCTTTCATCTTCGTGTCGATTGCATAATTCTTCGCAATAGTTGTGGCGGGTCCTCCCTGTGCGGTGCTATACACACATATATATATATATGTAAATATACACACATATATATATATATATATATATGTATCTGTGTAAATACATAATCTCCCTTTCAGTGGATTGCCCCTCCGTCGCTCGCACCATGTTCTTTTATTCAGGACGGTTTTGGTGCCCAATCTATGTTGCTGGACCTCCGGCAAAAAACATTCAGAATTCGCGCTCTCGCTCGAGACTTCTCGCAACTTACAACTCAAGGGTAGCACTCTCGCCAGGGACTTCCTGAGACCCTATTCTGGAATCGATCTCTCGCTGCTCACGGATCGTGCGTTCGCTTGGTGTTCCCCACAGCTTATTCAATCATCGCCATCTTGTCTGGGAGGTCTTCATCACTTCCCCAGGAATCGCGCTCTCGCTGCTCAGGAATCGTGCTCTCGCTTGGGATTTCATTAGTCAGGAATCGCCTTCTTGCCACAGGGGAATTGACTTTTGCGCAGGACTTGCAAATTATTTGGAACTCGCGATTTGGCCCGGTACCTCCCCAACAACAAGTCCAGGCATTGTGCGTTGATGTCCAGCCTGCCCGACCCGCAGGCAGGGCCCGCCCGTTCGACCGTGACCCTCCCGACCCGCCCGGCAGGGTCCTCCCGCTCGACCGTGACCCGCCTGCTTGAAGGTCCCGCCCGCTCGACCCGCCCGGTGGAGTCAGCTCGTTCCTTTGACTGGAAGCCCGCCCGCCCCGTCTGATGTCCCGCCTGTGAGGGTACGCCGGCCCGGGCTGCTCGTCAGGGTCCGCCCGCCCGACCCACTCGTCAGGGTCCGTCCGCCCGAGCTTATTATGTTCCTGTGTCGTGGTTGCCCAGGAGGCGGCATGCAATTGCGCCACCCCGGCATTGGGGTAAGTTCGTAAACGAAGAGGGCGGGAGTCGAGGGTTTGGGATGTACATGTTGAGTAACACGCGAGCGACGGAGTTCTGCTTGTTTATACATCGAGGACGCCCACGGCGAATCACCGCCGCCCCCTGCCTTTTTGGAAGCGCCTATGTGGCCGAACCTTTGGCTAGAGCCATCGTGTGGAAGAGGAGAATGAGGAGAAGAAGGCAAAGGGAGTAACTAGGAGGAGGAGGAGGAGGAGGAGGAGGAGGAGGAGGAGGAGGAGGAGGAGGAGGACGCCTCTGGAACCTCTTGGGGCACTCTCGGAGTCTCATGGGAGCTTTATGGGGGCCTCTTGGAGGCCTCTTGCAGGCCTTTGGGGGCTTGTTCGGGGCCGCTTTGGCCGTCTTCGGGCGTTCCTGGCCCGTCTGACGCCGTCGGAAACCGTCTTGGATGCCTCTCTGAACCGACTTGGGGTTCTCTTGTCGCTTCAGGACCGTCTTGGAGGCCATCTTGGGCGTCTTGGAGCCCTCTTGGGCCGTCTTGGGGCCCTCTTGGGACCGTCTTGGGGCCCTCTTGGGGGCCTCTTGAACAGACCCGGGGGACAGCGAAGACCTGATCCACCAGACCCGGGACCGACGCAGGTACGCTACGGCCTCAACGGCGCGGCTGCTAGTTCAGCTGTTCTTGACGTAAGTCGACGGGTGCCAGCCCCAGCCTCGTCTACAATGCAGGAACCTCTGCGTGCCAGTAGGTGCTGTGGATTTTTTTTTGTTCCTAATATTATGTGGAGGCCTCTTGGGCCGTCCTTGTGCCATCTTGGAGGCCTTGGGGCCACCTTGGGGCGATTTTGGGGGCCTTTTGGGTCGTCTTGGGCAGTCGGAAGGCCGAAAAGAAGCAAATGCCCAAATCCTTTAAACGCCAGAGAACAATCAATGATTTTGGCTCCTGCGGGCCGTCCTGGAGCTTGAGCGGCCCTGTGAGAGTGCTCTGTTCGGCGCGGCCGGTGCCTCACGCAGCAAAGCGCTACGACAGGTCAGCCGCTCCTGGTCTGTTGTGGTGGTCGTGGTGGTGGTAGCGAAAATCGGCGGCGAAATCCGCACCCTTCGCCGATCAACGATTCAGGCAGCTCGATCGGCGGCGGGGGCACGGTTCGGAAGTCGTGGGACACGTGGCGAATTCTTAGCCCTGCCCCCGCCTCCCCTCGATTCATGAGAGCCGATGGCTGCCGGGGGCAGGGTTCGGATGTCGCCACCTAGAGAAGCAAGTGGGCTCACCAGACATGATTCGGGTTGACCACAAAGGGGGTCCAGCGACAAAGGGGGTGGTGCAATAGATTTAGTGCAATAGATTTGCGGGGTTGCAATACACTTGGTGCGTGCAATACGTTCCGTGGCGCAAACGTATTGCTGGATTTTCGCGTGCAATACACTGCCTGCAGTACAATACATATACAATTCTCCAGCGCACTACGGTTGCAACACAGTTGCCTTAGATCTAGTTCACCACCCCCTTGCCGCTGGACCTCCTTCTGGGTCACCCAAGATGCTGCCTGTCGGATGTCAGGGGCAGCGTCACAGCCCCGCCGTCTCCGCGGCCGCCCCCCGCACGAGCACGAGGCGGTGGGAGGTCGGGCGCGCGCAGCGACGAGGCCGCCTTCGCTCCAGCCCCCCGCAGCGGCCCGTCCACCCAGAGCGGCGCAGGACACCGTGCGTGGGGGGGGGGTCCGACCGTGCGGGCAGCCACGCTCTGGCAGGGTTTTGGCTCTCGCTGGGTCTCCAGGGGCCTCCATCAGGGGACAGACAACGACATGAACATGCAGACTCGGAGGTCCGCGCAGATTTCTCTCGGATCGGCGCGGGGGCCACCTGGCGGCGCCTCCTGCGCCGCCCGCGGCGCGCTCCTGGCGCGCCAGGGAGGGGGGTCCCGCGCCGATCCGAGAAATCTGCGCGGACCTCCGAGTCTTTCTTGTTCATTGCGGGGCCCACACGTATGCACCACCACCACCACCTCCCTCACCCCCCTTGCTCTCCCAGGACGGGAGAGGAGGAGGAGGGTGGAGGCGGAAGGAGGAGTCGAGGTGGTGGTGGTGTGCATATTTTTGGGGCCCGCATTTCTGATGTCGTTATTTGCTCCCCTGCTCCAAACAGAGACCTGCGCGGAAACCGGCGCGTGCCGTCCGGCCGCCCACGCGGGGTCGCGCGCGAGCGCCCTCGCTGCCACTCTGTGTGCCGCGTCGGCGGCCCGCGCAGGCCACCGCGTCTGGCCGTCGTGCCCTCTGTGCGCAGGAGGCCCCCCTTGCTCTTCGACGCTCGCCTGCGGCCCCTCCAGGGGTCGCGCCTGGCCCGAGGGCTAACATTCGGCAGTGAGCCGAGGCGGGAAGTGAGATAGGGGGCAGGCCTCGTCAGACGGCGGCGGGGCTTCTCAGGAGCCCTCGCGCCTTATGAGACGCCCTTCGTGCCTTCTGGGAAGGCTGGGGCAAATTTTCAGAAGGCCAGAGGGCCTCTGAGCCTTTGAGAAGACCCGTGCCTCCTCCTCCTCCTCCTCCTCCTCTTCCTCCTCTTCCTCCTCCTCCGCCTCCTCCTCCTCCCCGCCTCCTCCTCCTCTCTCCCCCGCCTCCTCCTCCTCTCCCCTCCTCCTCCTCCTCCTCTCCTCCTCCTCTTCCTCCTCCCTCCACCTCCTCCTCCTCCTCCGCCTCCTCCTCCTCCGCCTCCTCCTCCTCTCCCCCCGCCTCCTCCTCCTCCTCCTCCGCCTCCTCCTCCTCCTCCTCCTCCTTCCCCCCCTCCCTCCTCCTCCTCCTCCTCCTCCTCCTCCTCCTTCTCCTCCTCCTCCTCTCTCACCTCCTCCTCCTCCTCCTCCTCCTCCTCCTCCTCCTCCTCCTCCTCCTTCTCCTCCTCCTCCTCCTCCTCCTCCTCCTCCCCTCCTCCTCCTCCTCCTCCTCCTCCTCCTCCTCCTCCTCCTCCTCCTCCTCCTCCTCCTCCTCCTCCTCCTCCTCCTCCTCCTCCTCCCCCCGCCTCCTCCTCCTCCTCCTCCTCCCGCCTCCTCCTCCTCGCCTCCTCCTTCCCTCCTCCTCCTCCTCCTCATCCTCTCCCCCCCCTCCTCCTCCTCCTCCCTTCTCCTCCCCCTCCTCCTCCTCCTCCTCCTCCTCCTCCTCCGCCTCCTCCTCCTCCTCCTCCTCCTCCTCCTCCTCCCTCCCATGCCCGCCGCCGGCCCATGGACTGAGCCTCCCCTCCCGGGCCAGGCGCGTGCGAGCGCGCCCCGAGCCATGGCGGCGGGCGGGCCCGAGTGGGCGGCGCCGGGCTGGGGGCCGCAGCTGGCGCAGAGCGCGCCGCCGGACGCCGGTGAGGAGGAGGAGGAAGAGTGGCATTGCAGGAGGAACTCCTCCTCCTCCTCGTCCTCCTCCTCCTCCTCCTCCTCCTCCTCCTCCCCGATCTTCCCCGATCCTCCCCGATCTCCTCCCCGATCTCCCACCCTCCTCCTCCCCTATCTCCTACCTCCTCCCCGATCCTCCCCGATCTTCCCCGATCCTTCTCCTCCTCCCCGATCTCCTACCCGATCTCCCCGATCCTCCTCCTCCCCGATCTCCTACCCGATCTCCCCGATCCTCCTCCGTCTCTCCCTCTCGGGGCGTGGGGGGGCCCGAAGGCTGCTGTCCGCAGTCGGCTGGCGGCTCCCGCCCGCCGGGCTCCCTCTCCCTCGACGGCACGGGGCGCGCCTGATGCCCCGAGGCCGTCCGCAGAGCTCGCGGCGCGAGGGCCTCCAAGGTGGCCTCCGTTTTCGGTGGCGAAGTTCATGCGATCGTAAACATAAATCAAGGGGGCGCGGGTTCGCGACGGGTCCCGTTTCCACGGGAAGTCGCAGGTTTCCGCCGCCGAGCGATGCGGCACCGGCCGCATTGTGGGGAGGGCGCATCCTCCGATCCATGGATTAGGCGACCGTGCGCCAAATCCATGGATCGCTAATCGATGTGTGCGCACCCCCGGAAAGCAGCGTGCTCGATTTAGTATGGTATGGGGCCACGAAACGTGCGAGGGGTGTGCCAAAATGGGGCGGCGGCGCCATGCGAACTGCGCCACTTCACCTTCGGTGGAGCTCCCTATGGGGCCACGAAACGTGTGAGGGGTGTGCCAAAATGGGGCGGCCGGCTCCATGCGAATTGCGCCACTGGGACCTTGGGTGGAGCTCACTGTTGGGGCCACGAGACGTGTGAGGGGTGTGCACAAACGGGGCGGCGGCGCCATGCGAATTGCGCCACTGGGACCTTAGGTGGAGCTCACTGTTGCGGCCACGAAACGTGTGAGGGGTGTGCACAAATGGGACGGCGGCGCCATGCGAATTGCGCCACTGGGACCTTGGGTGGAGCTCACTGTTGGGGCCACGAAACGTGAGAGGGGTGTGCACAAATGGGACGGCGGCGCCATGCGAACCGCGCCACTTCGACCTTAGGTGGAGCTCCCTATGGTCCCACGAGACGTGTGAGGGGTGTACGGAAACAGAGACACTATGAAGGCAGGGGCAAAGACTGGGAGAAGGGAGGAGGGGGAGGAGGAGGAGGAGGAGGAGGAGGAGGAGGAGGAGGAGGAGGAGGAGGAGGAGGAGGAGGAGGAGGACTGCGGGGACCGTCTCTTCAAAACGAGGACCCAACATCACAGGATGGTTGGGAATAGCACAAGAGAACGGACATAACTGGCGAAACACGCAACCCTTTCTCAAACCGAGACGGCTCTGACCAGGACCGCTCAATCCACAAGAATATTGCGAAGGGCCTACGATGCCCCTCGACGTCTCGCCCTAAAAACGCCAAACCGCACCCAACATTCTCCATTCACGCGCGCATTCTCGCAACTCTGTCCGCACCAAGGAAGACTGCGACGAACAACCCGAGGAGCGCACTATGTTGCCACGAAATGTGTGAGGGGTCTGCCGACTTGGGGGCGGGGCCGCATGCGAACGCAGCCACCAGGGCATTCGGTGGAGCTCCCTATGAGGCCACGAAATGTGTGAGGGGTCTGCCGACTTGTGGGCGGGGCCGCATGCGAACGCAGCCACCAGGGCATTCGGTGGAGCTCCCTATGAGGCCACGAAATGTGTGAGGGGTCTGCCGACTTGGGAGCGGGGCCGCATGCGAACGCAGCCCTTGGGGGCTTCGGTGGAGCTCCCCATGGGGCGACGAAATGTGTGAGGGCTCTGCCGAAACGGAGCGAGGCCACATGCGAACGCAGCCATTGGAGTCTTCGGTGGAGCTCCCTATGGGGTCACGAAGCCTGTGGGAGTCAGCCGCAAACGCAGCCATTGCGGCCTTATGTGGAGCCCCTTTGTATGGAGCCACAACATGTGTGAGGGGTCTGCCGAACTGGGGCGGGGTTGCTGGAGCCTTCGGTGGAGCTCCCTATGGGGCCACGAAGCGCATGAGAGGTTTGCTGAAATGAGGGGCGGGGCCGCATTCGAACGCAGTCACCACGGCCTTCGGTGGAGCTCTCTATGAGGCCACGAAGCGTGTGAAGGATCTCCTCCTCCTGCTCCTCCTCCTCCTCCTCCTCCTCCTCCTCCGCTCTTCTCCTCCTGATGCCTCCTCCTCCTCTTCTTCCCGATGCATTGGGGCCCCCATCTGACGGCGACAGACAGCTCCACCTGGTCCTCGTCGTCCTCGGCCTTACCCTCGTCCTCGTCCTCGTCCTCCTCCGCCTGCTCCTGTTTCCTGTTTCCTGA